TATAGGTAGCACTCAATACAACATAGTAGAAATTTTCAAATTTTGAGAGATACAAAATCATATTTTTCGCCATGGTCAAATTGTGCCTGATCTAAGAAAAATTATTTCATACGGATCGGACACCCCACGCATCTTACTTGCGGTGTCGGATCCTGACCTAAAATCAGGTGATTTACAGTCACGATGTATTTCGGTGGATTCCACTTTTTTTTAAAAAAAAAAACTGAAATAATCCTGACCGTAGATCACCGTGATCTACGGTCAGGATCGGACACCGCATGCAGAGATGCATGCGGTGTCCGTATGCAATAATTTCTCCTGATCTAGGGACATTTCTTAATGGTGTTTGAAGTGACTGATTTTCCCCCTTCATCTTCATCTCTTCTTCAATTTTTATGACAACCAGTCTTGATGGTGCTTGAACTGGCTGACTCTCACGCCACTATGATTTAAGAAAAATCACATGTAATTATGTAATTATATTTAAAATAAAAATTTTACCTCCAAACTTTAAGATAAGATTGTTTGCCCCCCTCTCACTAAAATCTTAGTTCCTCCATTATTCCCAAATCTTTCTTCTATGGTTCAATCCCACAATGAAAACTTCACTGGTATTCAAATTGATGAAGAGAACTTTCTGCCAACTTCCTACACAAAAACAATTTTTAAGTTATTATTATAAAAATCCAATCAAACTTTCCTTGAATATCATATGGCATAAGGCAATCATATCGCATGCAGACAATTGTATTGGCGCTTGAATGAAAAAGTAGTCTTGTAGGTGGCACCTTCCACTCAAGTTGGAAGGCCATACTGTGACTATATCTTAAATAACAATGAAGTTTAGAGCACCCGCATCATATTAAAATTTTATCTAAACCATATTATAGAAATGTTATAAGAAGCTTGTTAGAATATAGTCACTCGAGCCACCGAGCTTTACAATAGCAATAGCCATGATGAAAGCAAGAGGTTGTGATCTCCTTCTGTTAGTTGTTCTTTGGTTAGTAATTTCTGGTAGCGAAGGTTGGTCAATTGGAGCTCACAATCATGAAGAGCAGGAAGGAAACAGTAGCCACGGGTCACAGTATTACAGCAGTTCTGGTCCTTCTCCAGCTCCCTATAATGGCTTCTTCAGGCCGCATGGGAGAATTTTCAGCATTTTGGATTTTGGGGCCAAGGGAGATGGAGTCTCCGATGATTCTATGGTATTTATGATCAATTTAAGAGAAACAATCTGTAATTTAGATATTGTAAAATTACAAACAATGGTTATTCCAAAGTTTAGATCAACAAGAGAAGCTTTAGAGTCGTCTTAAATGACAAAAGAATGCATTTTTATTATTTTCTATTATTTTCAGATATTGTAAAATTACAAACAATGGTTATTCCAAAATTTAGATAAATAGGAGAAGCTTTAGAGTCGTCCTAAATGACAAAAGAATGCGATTTTATTATTTTTTATTATTTTCTTCTTTTTTTTCTTTTTTGTTCTAATTGTCATTATAAATGATGTTTTTTTCTCTCTATATCCTGGTTCTAAGCAAGCTATTGCAGGATTGACAATCCTGTTTTCAATGTTTATATTCTTTTGACATGCATGAGCCATTTCAGTAGGTTTTTCACTCTTATATATATATATATATATTTAATTTTAGGTTTTTCACTCTTTCAGCACTGATCAACACTTTATTGTTATGAGGCTAATCAATTTAATAATTTACCTCAGCTGTATCCATAAATTTAGTTTTTAAACTTTACAGGCACTTCTAGCAGCATGGAAGGCAGCTTGCACAGTCCCGGAGGCAACCATAGAAATCCCATCAAATTTCATATTTCTTATAAAACCAATTACTCTGCAAGGCCCATGCAAATCTAATTTGGTTCTCAAGGTTCAAAGTATCCCCATTCATGATTTTTTGAATTGGGAAACTTCCTAACTTATTGTATATTATTACTGTTCACTAATTACAAAATGTGGGGAAAAGGAAATTTTACATGGAATTTTTGAAGATATTTCAGGCCATTCAAGTATAACTCCGTTATTTCCAAAATTTCCAGATAGATGGGACCCTCCTGGCACCTTCTAACACTTCAACTTGGTCAAAATCTACCCGCTACCAGTGGCTGAACTTAAAATGGCTTAGTAGCCTTATCATCCAAGGAAGTGGAACTCTTGATGGGCAAGGCTCTTCATGGTGGAATCTTACTGAAAATACTTTGGTCAGTGGCTCTCTGTAGATCAATTCTTTTTCCTATTAAAAATCTAAACTGGTTCTGAAATTTGAAAAATTGACAGCAGAAACAAACTGAACATTCAATTTCAGAAATGAGACCAACAGTATGTAGCCTATCAATGATTTAAATTGACTTTATATCAAACATCCACTCATAAAAATTTCTCTTTAAATAAAGATTTTGAGATTCTACCAGAGCTGTAATTTAGTGGTGCGTGACATTCAAATCATCAATAGCCCACTTTGTCACCTTAAATTTGACAACTCAAGGAGGGTCCTGGTGATGAATATCACAATCTCCTCACCAGAAGATAGCCCAAACACTGATGGCATTCATCTCCAGAACTCCACAGGAGTGGAGATAAGGCACTCCATCATTGGATGTGGTAGGGAAAAAAAAACTCCTCTTCAACAAACTCAAATGATTCCTATAAACTTTCCCGTTCACTTTATGGATGTTTTTAATAGCTTTTTCGAACTTTCAGGTGATGATTGTGTTTCCATTCAAACCGGGTGCTCAAATATTCACCTGCATCACCTAGAATGCAGTCCAAGCCATGGAATCAGGTGAAACCATGAATTATCTCCTTAGATTCATTAAAGTAAATGAAATTAATCAGAATTAAGTTAATGAGTAAACACTAAGAATTATGAAATTATTGTCAGCATAGGAGGTTTGGGGAAAGGCAACAGCTTGGCTTGCGTCTCTAATGTATATGCTAACAACATCAATATTCAAAATGCCCTATCTGGCGTCAGGATCAAAACTTGGCAGGTATATATAATCCTAACTTATTTACATCAGCCATTAACTTAACTCATAAGCTAACTCCCGTATTTCCTGTCACAGGGAGGTTTCGGGTCAGTCAGGAATGTAACATTCTCCAACATTCAAGTCTCGGATGTTCAAATACCACTAGTGATTGATCAGTATTACTGCAGTAAAAAATCATGCAAGAATAAAACTGATGCAGTAGCCATTTCAGGCATCTCATATAAGAGAATTATAGGAACTTACATATATCAACCAATGAGTCTCGCTTGCAGTGACAGTATTCCATGCATTGATATCGACATAATTGATATACAACTTTTCCCAGCATTGGCTGAGAGACATTCCAGGCAGGCATTGTGTTGGAACTCTTATGGGAGGGCCGTGGATCCTCTTAAGCCCTCAAGCATTGCATGCTTGCACAAGAATAATAGGCAGATTAGTCCCTATACGAAACCAAATGGCTATATTTGTTAAAGAATGACAAAGGTTTAGCTTGGCTTTAAAAGTTCTTGAGGAACTGGTTGAATTACCTGACAATTTGCTTGCCTACTGAATTTTGTAAATAGAAGGTGGCTGATCAACTTTGTTTGCTCCAAGCATGAGATTTGTAAGCATTAATAAGGTCTAATTAAGCTTCACGGCTTGAAACTCTAGCCGCCTAGTATTTTGGCATGAATGTAATGGGTTGTGATACTCTTGAAGTGAATATGCCCAATGCTGCAGCAGTTTGTTCGTTTTTTCGTTTTTTTCTTTCAACACACACACACACACACACACTTAAACGCCATAGCAAAAGGACTAAGCTTTGCCAACACATCAGACTTCTTTTATCCCTCAATCTCCTTACCAAGATATAGTTTTTCAGATAAGAAATATGACAGTATCTTATTCCACAGGAATTTGGTTGACTCGTAAATTAGAATCTCAAATCATAAACATTCAGCACTTTCTCTTAGCTTGCAATTGAAATTTACATTATTTCACTACACTTGCTGCTTCATCCAGACTAGAAAAACCAACTTATTTGATCTTTGGAGATTTACTAAATCAAGCCAAATATAATCAAACTAAAAATCTTAAAAAATTCAGAATAATTTATAATTATTTGTTTTCAAAAAAATTACCTACAGCAAAAAAGGTACCATTTCAGGAATCAAAAGTTCCAGAACCTCATAAATCTCTAAAGCATTAGGATGACTAAAGTCCCAACAATAAAATGCATGGAAACCCTCTCTTATCTGAATCCAACTACAGCCTCCACCTTTCTTGACTCCTGTTGCTCTCATAAGCATTCTAATCTTAGCCACATCCTTCCATCTCTCAACAGAAGCATATATATTCGAAAGCAGAACATAACCTGCAGTCCTTTGCCTCTCTATGTCTATCACCATCTTGGCAGCTCTCTCACCAATTCCATCATTACCATGAGTAACACAGCCACTCAACAGAGCTGCCCATGTGTTAGCTTCAGGCTTGATAGGCATCTTCCTAATAAACTCCTCAGCCTCTCTCAGCAGCCCAGCTCTAGAAAGCAAATCTACCATGGCAGTGTAATGCTTCTCCGTAGGTGTGATTCCATATGCTTTGTCCATTGATTCAAAATAGTGAAACCCTTTATCAACCAATCGACAATGAGAGCAAGCAAAGAGAATAGATAAGAACATTGGTTCACTTGGACTAATGTCTGTTTTTTTCAACTCTTCAAACAAAGCTAATGACTCATAGGCCAGTCCACTGTCTGCTAGCCCTTGGATCATGGCAGTCCAGGAGACCTCATTCTTCTTAGGCATCAAAGAAAATACACTCTTAGAGCTCTCAATGTCTCCAGATTTAGCATACATATCAATAAGTGCAGTACCAACAATAATCTCAGTTCCTACCCCGAGCTTAATAGTCCTACCATGAATGGTCTTTCCTTTCTCCAATGAAGGCAAATTCGCACAAGCTAGTAGAACACTAGAGAATGTCATCCTATTTGGCTCTTGCCCTGAACTTAGCATCTCATTAAAGGTTTCTAAAGCATCCTCATATAGCTCATTCTGAACAAAACCAGAGATCATTGCATTCCATGAGGCAGCATTTCTTTCAGAAATTTCATTAAATAGATGCTTAGCTTCTAAAATTCTTCTATCATAGAAATAACCACCAACCATCGCATTCCAGCACACTATGTTCTTCACAGAAAGAGAGTCAAAGAGCCGACGAGCATCTTCTGATTTCCCACACTTGGAATACATGTCTATAAGTGAACTAGCAACAAAGACATCATTCTCATAACCAAACTTCACAACATGAGAATGGACACTCCTCCCAAGTAACAAATTTTCAAGAATAGCTGATGCACTGATCACACTAGCGAAGGATGAGACATTTGGTGTAAAGCCATTACAAAGCATTTGATTAAATAACCTTGATGCCTCCAAAGCCTCACCACTCTGGCTATACCTTGCTATCATCATGCTCCAAGTGACCTCGTTTTTATCAGGCATTTCATCAAAAACATGGCAAGCTTCCTTCAGATCACCCATTTGAAAACACACATCAAGCAAGGCAGTCCACGAAACAACGTCCCTCTCCACCATTCCATCAAACACTCTCCTTGCCATTTCAACATCTCCCATCCTGAGATACAACGTGATCAGAGAATTACAAACCGATAAATTCTGGTCAAATTTATTCTTCACAATCATTCCAACAATACTCTTGGCTAAGTCAAATTCACCACTCACACCACAAGCAGAAATAAGACAAGTGAAAGTTACATCATTTGGCATCAAACCACACCTAATCATCTGACGGAACATTACTAAACCATCAAAATACATTCCATTTCGAGCCAACCCATTAATCGTCGCTGTATATGACACAACTGTATGATAAGGACACCTTTCAAAATGCCCCATGGCATCATGAACTCTCCCTCTTTTCATGAGTTCATCAATGATTATAGTCCACGAAACCACATTTCTCTCAGGCATTTCATCAAACAGCTTAGACGCGGAATCAATATCGCCACTCCGGGCAAAATCATTGATAATAAAGTTCCACGAAAATATGTCAGAACCAGCAAATTCAATAAATATGAGATTCCGATCAGCTGTGCGGTTGCATTCAGAGTACATGGTGAGAAGCTTGGTGAAAACCGAGCGGTCTGCCGATATGCCGCACCTGACGGCGTGGCCATGGAGGGCTAGACCGGCAAGTAAGCGATGGGTGCAGGAGCATCGCCGAAGAAGGGAAGCGCAGGTCTCTACGTAGGATTTGAAGGAGCTTGGTGTGAATGAAAGGCTCCCAACGGCTAGTTTTTTCTTGAAGGATTTGAAAATAGCGGCAATGGAAGAGGAAGAGGATAACTCAGAGTTAGGGATTGATTGGGATTCGGTTGAAAAGCTGATGGCGGAATGATAAATGCGGCCGAAAATTAGTCTACTTTTTGCACTCATTCCATCATGTTGCTCACTAGCATGGCTGAGGTAGCTAGTTATTTGTTGAAACCGCCAAACGGAATTTTTTTAGGGAAGATAATTTGTGAGAGAGAGGAAAGTATGATTGTGTAATAATTTGGTATTTTTTTTTCTAATCTATGTTAAGCATACAATGTGTACAGATTACATTATGGAAAAGTGAAATACTGAATATGTTCTTACCCTTAATTGGGGTGTATACACATATAAAATAAAAAAAAAATTGAGCCAAGCCAATGCAATCCAATGCTCATGTATGACATTGCACCAATTGATTTGAATATGGTTGTTTAGATTATTCATGAAGCATTTTACAAATGCTACCATGGTCACTTATGATGCTATTGTGGCATTGATTGAGTGGCTAATTTTTAGGTGTTTAGGGTGAAGCAAAGATATATGACAAGATCGAACAATTAGCTCGACAAGCTAATTCCACACAAAAATCTTGCTTGAGAGATTAGTTATAATAATTTGTTTAGGATAACTTGGTCATTTTATTTTTCTTGGCCAACCAATTAGATAAAAAATTAGGACAGTCATCTATAGTAATATCTTGAGGTGAATCCCCCTGAGTCAGCTAGGTCGGCCTCTAGAATTTGCCCTTTGGTCTAAGTAGGACAGTAAAACACAAAAAGCCACATATGATCCATACCTTTATATTATATATTGTACGATTTTTATTCCTTAAGTAACATTAATATAGCATACATAAGACAGCTCAATCTATAAATAGAGGTGACTTCCATGAGAGAAAAGAGGAGGAAGAAGAATATTTTTTTTTTTTTAGGAAGGGACATTAGAATCTTGGTAAAAATATGAGATTATGGTTTGGTAGATTAACATATTATGGTTTGGTAGATTCACGAATATTCCACAAGTAATGCCTTGTACCCAAGAGATTTCTCCCATTGGATTATTAGCCTCACTCTTTTTTTCATGTTCTTCTATCTTTGCACAAATTTTATTTAGAAGGTGTGTTCCCATAAATAACTTAGGATTTAACATTTTAGAGGTACTGAAAGTGAATCATGTCTCATACTGGAAAAGTAGTTGTTTATATAGCAGAATAAAATCATAATAACAACTCTATCAATTTTGAGTACACAACAGAGTTCATTGTGTAGCAGATGAATCAATTAAGAGAATATATTATATTTGATGATCAAAGAAGCCCTAGAGCATATGCTGAGGGAGGCACCACGTGCCTATATACCATTTGGTTCTTTTGAGTCAATAAACATAAAAAAAGAGATCTAGTAGCTATGATAAAAAAAGCTTTATCAACAACTCTAACAGATGAAGATGAAGAAAATTACCCCAATAGTGTAGATTCATCTTCTTCTTATTATGGAAATTAAATAAGGCAAGAAGTCGCCTGGAAAAATAGAAGATTAAGATTCTAGCCCTAGAGTCTTGATTTTTTTCATGTAGCATCATTTGAGTTAGAAGGTATCTACCATGAATTAATGACACCCTCAAATGCCACCTATTTTTTTTAATCTCAAAGAGTTTGCCCTTGATTATTTCAATAACTTTTACTTAGGGTAATAACCACATGTTTTGTTTTCAAAAGCATATTCATTGTGTAATTCCCTAGTGCTCAAAAATTGTGGAAGAGTTTACAAGCATTACTGTATATTTGTTAAGAGTTGAGAGAATCACTGAGAAAATTTATCACTTACTTCAAAAAAGAAATGCTTGTAGTAAGAGATATAGAGCTTATAGCCGTCCATGCAACACTAGCTTCAGAGCTGAGAAAAGGACTTTTTTGCCATTCCTTTAGGTTACAAGTCAAAAGAAAGTTAACCAAACTACTGAACCTAACCAATAAGTATATTGTTGTTAAGAAGTGAAAATCCTTGCCTAGCACCCTTAGAATAAGAAAGTAAGAGTATGATTTACCAAGGAAGAACTTTTGACATTTTAACTGAAAAGTTGGAGTTCATCCTTGTGAATGTGGAGAGAGGAGAAACATTGATAAATTTTAGCATTATGAATGGTTTTTTATTTTATTTGCTAGGATTTAAATTATTTAGGAATTATCATTACCATATTATTCTTCTTCTTTTTATTTTTATGCTTTTTAACAAATTTTTAATAAAAAAATTGAATTTTATTTAACTTAACCAAAAACAATTCACCAAAAATCTATGGTAGGTTAATATTGATGCAAATAATATCGAGGCAAAATTTGGTTAAGATCATTAATAGTTTAACCCTTTAATAAATTATTGATTAGATGTTTGTATTTGATTAATTAAAATGAATTCAATCTAGTTTATACTCTAAAAATAACTTTAAAAGATAGAGGTTTTTTAAGTACATTGAGTATCTATGCCTAATTTTTGGACTACTATAGGTTTTTTTGAAGTTTAAATGAATTGTCCTTAAATTTTCTTTAATATTCATTTCTTACACACTCAACATTGTTGAATGTAAAAACCTTTGCACATGTCAACGCCCTACATTAATTCAATCAAAGTAACGGGATGCACCAGTCCCAAAAGGAAATTTGACTTAGTTCTTGACTTTTAATAACCTAATTATGTTAAGCTCGACTTCAATTAAATGAGTTGAGGATCAAACATAGTTTATTTTTAGCTAAGGGATAGAAAATTTTTTTTGACTCTAAGGTTAGGCTCAACGATAAACTAGCCATTTAAAGAAGATAGCCATATGAATTGTTAGGACTAGGTCCTAGAATTTAGGGACGGGCTATAAAAGAAGAAATGCCAAACTTACTAAAAATAAGGTCAACATGATGTTAAGTTGTAATGGTGGATTGATCAAGTAAGATAAAACTCCAACTTAAGATTACTTTTCTTTTGGTTATTAAAGTTTATATAAAAACATCATGCAACACAAATACTTAGATATACTTAAAAACGATTATGGAATTACCATAGATTTGTTCGAAATCATTTTCTAGATTTTTCATTAGTTATATGTGAGTTTTATGGGATATTAATCGAGCTAATGTCATATTAGAAAAGCTTTCAGTCTAGAGCACTAGATTGAGATTATGGATTTTGGTGGGTAGAATTATAATTTCTAAAAGTACTCATGAACATAGGAAGTCATTTTACTTTACTTTTAGAGTATTTAATAAAATTTCAAGGGGTTTAGTTTAGCCAATGATATTTAAGAACAAGTTATATAATGTTCATGTGATGGTTGGTCAACAAACCCTTTCGAGGATTCAAATAGATTATTGAGGGAGATGGATGGGAAAAATTAATGTGAATTTGTAGAATAAATATTTTATGTAATTTAAAAATGAATAATGATTATTATTAATGCAAAGTACTTTGAATAATTTCTAACTAAAGTGAAATTTTGAGAAGAGATCATTAAATCTCATAAAGATTGAGGCTAGTCACCAAGCCTCCTCTTTTTTGGATTAAAATTCCAAAAATTCATCAAAAACACATCAATTATTTCATTATAGAAAACAATATTTAATTAGTTTACTTCAATTTTATTATTGGTTAGAAGGAAGGAGCATGATTTAAAGAACCATCTGAATGATTGCTTATAAAGAATTTGTCTACTCGAAGTGTAACAACTAGCTTCAAATGAGTGGTGGGAAACCAAGACATATTGAAAATGGATTATATGATTAATGTTAAGTCAAATAATACATTTATAATTAAATTAAAAAAATTCTCTTAATTTTAAAATTCAAAATTTTAAAATTTAAGTTTTAAAATTTAAAAACTTAAGACCACAAAATTTTTTCAATTAATTTTTCTTTTATTTTATAAAGATTTTAAAATTAAAAAGTGAAATTACTTAAACTTATGTAATAAAAATACATCTCAAAAAATAAATTTTAATTAAAATTCTTCATCGCACTCTTTATAACGGGCCCTTACCTGGATGCAACTTTCTTCTTACTCTATACTCTAATTATTGTTCTATGCTTATCTCAAGTGAATTCCTATATCACATCAATTATGTTGACTTTAAACAACACTTCCTTAAGAAATTAAGAGTTTCCTTTGGTAAGATCTAGTGTTAGCTTCTCTAAGTCATCCTAAGTGAACCAAACATCATTTGCTGCTGGTGTTTCCTTGCACCTCACAAACATCAATCGATCTCACTCTTGATTTGTTGGAACCTCATCTATGATAATGTGGTTTGTGTAAAAGAAAATTACATGGAAATTATAATCTTATCCTCTAATAAAAAATCCTCCTCAAAAGTATGGATACTATTTTACTCTTTAATATAATATTAAATCATCCAAATTAATAAAAGGGTTGATAAATAAATTATTTAATAATTTAAGAAAATATGAATTTATGTTGAATTTTCTAATGTTATTAGATGTGTTAAATGCCCTAACTTATAATTTTTAAATTCAATAGATAAATATCTCCGAGGTAAAATTATAATGAAAGCATGATCTCTAGTAAAATATTCTTTACAAGGATTAATTCTATATTTTATTTTGTCTTTTTTTCCTTAATTACTTCTAATTGTTATATAATATTATGGTGAAGGTCTTAAGAAATTTTTACTAAAGTAAATGTTGAATCTAGTTGTAGATGTGAAGGTGTACAAGTAAGATTAATTAATTTCATTGTGTTATATCCATGAACTTGTTATATGAGAATTTTTTTAATATTATTAAAATAGTACAATTAAATGCAAACTTTATGATAAGAAGGTATATGTCTCAATTGATTTAACTTACCTTCAATAATATTCCACAGTTTGTTATTATATTGTTGCTCTTCAGATTGATGGTAAATACAAGAGAAATTTAATGTACTACCCATTGTTTATGTAATATTCTTTCAAAATAAAATCAAACACTACATATCTATATAAAATAACTTTCAAAGGAAATACATGCAACCTTATAGCCTATTTAAAGTATAACTTTGCTACATGTGATGCATCATTGAATTTTGGGCATGATAAAAAGTAGGACATTTTAGAAAGATCTATAATAGCAAATATGCTATCCTATACAACAGAGAGTTTAAGAAGAAGAAATTTAAGTACAGAAGTATATGGAGTAGAATATTTTCTTAAATTTTATTTTATATTTTTCAC